TTGATGATCATCAAAGGTCCCTTCTAATCCCTAATATTCTGTGATTCTTTTGGCCACCTCAAGGAGTATGTGTTGAGGCAATTGAGTGGAGTTTGGACTGTAGTCCTTGAAAGCAGGAGCTTCAGATTCAACTGAGCAGAGATAGGTCAGTCTCCCACAGAGTGAGCTCAAGTTTTCCAAAGCCTTTTGGCTAGATCCCTCTTTACTATCATGGGAACTAAACTTCTCAACTCACTTTTTAGGAACAAAATTTAGGAAAGCTGAATCCTAATGGAGACAGAATGATAAAGGAAAAGGAGTAAGCCAATAAGAGATATGATTAAAAATTAATCTGGTATGTTTAGATCAGAGTTAGTTTGTGAGGCTGACTTTGTACGGTCTAGTTTTCTGCTTAATTTTCTTTTTCTTGGCTGCATTACCCTCTGGTCCAGAATTGTTTTCATTTATTATTACCATCTTTAGCTACCTAATTGTGCTACTAATGAATACAAATAATCCAGGCATAAAGCTTTTACAGACCCACTTCAGTGTACAAATAATGGTTTGTTGTGTAACTGCTGATTATGGGAGAAGGTAACTCACATTATGGAAAATATGTGCTGAAATGTTGGTGATGGGGAAACTATTGAATTCTGTAGTCTGTCTTGTACATTATGAGACTACAAAATCATTTTTGTTTCATCAGATTGTCTTTGATGAGTAAATATGAGAGCATCTGAGCCTAGTTTTGAAGCACATGTACTTATATTTGGAATTGCATTTTTAAATTTTAAGTGCTCATATAGACACTATAGCACATGAAATACGTAGTTGGCTACGAAATTGCCTATTCAAGTGCATATGTATGGAGGCTGAGCACTCAACATTAAGCATCTGCATTTCAAAATTGGATCCCTTGTGCTTGAAAGCCTTGAAAATGCTGCTCGATGGTCAGCCTAGTGCAGCATCAATTGAAATGCAGTTTGAATGCAATGTAGAGCTTCCAATTGCTGCTTCAGAAAGTGTTATGCTGAATCTGGAACACTTTGCATAATTTAATTAATTATGCCACTAAAACCTGATTTTCTCTCAATTTAAAGCAAACAGCTTTTATGAGGGTGAACTGCAGCACCCAGGGATATCAGGTGTCCAAGCTTTTAATCCTATTACAAAGACTTGACAACCACTGATGGAAACTGGAAAAACATAAGCCTCCAGCAGGGCAACAAGTGAAGAGGAAGAAGGGAACAGATTTTTAATACTCTTTGAAACCACTGTACGCATTAAATCAAAATCAAATGTAAAAAGTGACAGGAGTGGTAGCTTGCACTTAGTTGTGCAGACAGTGAGTAGTGTCTAAGGAATAACACTTACTTCGTGTTGACATTAATGAAAATAACTGTTTCCTCTAAGAGGAAAATTGTTCCTCTTAACTAACATAAGAAAAACACAGCAAATGGCCCAGGCTATTTGTATCTGTGTCTGTCCACTTAAAGTGTTCAGGAGTGCAACAGTCTGTAGTTTGAAAGTGGTTTCTAATGTTATGGATTGGATTCTGTCTATGAATTACTTTCCTTGTAAACAAATCTTGACAGACGATGCCAGACTACAAGTATTAAACAATCTGTCACTGACTAAACACTAGCCTCAATGCTTTGCTTTCTGAGGCTTGTCTTCTCTCTTCCAATTTATTAGTGGGTTTGATATCACTCTAAAACAATAGACACTGTAATTTTAGGCAGAAGGGAGTGCTGATTTGGAAAAGCTCTAATTTCTGAGCCACACAAGCAGTGCCATAATTGGCAATCTATGACTGACTGTGCAAAATGCTGTGACCAGGTTAGGAAGGGTTACAGCAGAACTGACTCCATCTCCATATTGAACATCAGTGTGTAACATGAAATTAACTGTACTGCAGAAGATCTTGCTAATAAATAGGAAAATATCTTATTACTGGGCATTCAACCCAGTAAATAAAGCCCTATAAAATGCAAAAATCTTTATTTCTTAAAATAATGACAGATATTAATGTATTTAGTAATACACATTTCTCTATTATTTGTATTCCTTTATACACACTTATGGATGTCATCATACTTTGACAAGAAAGTACCAAACAATAAGCTTAAAGGGTTTGTAAAATGGTGACCTTGTTAAGAACACTGTAACATCACATGTAAATTAGAGAAATTTTCTCCAATTCTGAAATACTTTTCCCAAACATATTCAGAAAAAAAAAGTCCAAAATATTTTTTTTAGTGGATGAATACAGGAGAATTTGTAGCTGCAAAGCCAAGACATTTTGGCCCAAATTCATTTTACTTATGCCATCTAAGTCTCAAGCCATTTGTACAGTCTTCCTCTGCAGTTACTGTACATATGAAGGCATGCCCAGGGGCCATGCATTCCATTTGTCTCTTGTGGTCTTTTCCTCTTAGTTTCATCTGGGCATTACCTGATCACCGGGCACTGCTGACTTCATCTGAATCACAGTGCAATCAATTTGTGCTAAACTAGCCAGTGTAGAGAGCCTTTACTGCCTTTGTGTGAGCCACAGCAGGACAGACAGTACCACATCCAGTGTGAAACCAGAGCAGGATGGAGAGGCAGTATGTGCTCCACTGGAAATCTGGCCAGAACCAAGTTCTCTCTTCAGCTTTTCTTAACAGATGCAGAAATCAAGACTGGCCCTGTTCCTATTTAGGATTTGGCAACGTGTAGTCAGATTTTTTGGTGGCTGTTTTTTAATGAAACCCTAAGTATCATCATAACAACTTTTTTAAATTTATGGACACATGCCTTAGGATGGAATGAATGACCACTTGGAACTACCTGTTTTCCTCTATTAAATTTACATCGACACCCAAATTTTGGCTAAAATTAAATGAGATTAACTCACTTTTTGTCTTTAGCTCTCATTTCCAGGGACATATTTTTTTAATGGTCATATTTTTAAATGGAAGCATAATCAAAATAAGTGAATTGTATGTCACAGTGGCAAAAAGCAGAAAATTGGAGACATGAAAAAAAAAGTTTCCAGCTAAGATTTGGCTCTTTCAAGTATTTGTGTGTTTGAAAATAGGTTCATGTTTTTTTGAGAGCATCTGAGTTCTCAAAATACAAGAAAACATACTAATTTATCAGAGATAATGAGATTCAAATAATGTATTAACCAGCTCAACTAGATACACTACATAGAGGTTATGACAATTTCTTCTAAAATAATAAAAGTATCTCTTATAATTGATTCTTTTCACTCTTTCATAAAATTGCTTTGTTTCATTGCGGGAGAGTTTGCACTGAATTTTCATTACCTACTTCTGAACAATTTACACTGGGACTGAGACAGTATTGAGCTAATGAGTTAGAATTTATATTGAGTCTT